TTGTTTTTTTATAGCTTACGGTACTCCTGATTTTAAGCATGGCACTATTATTCATAGAAATGATTGAATTTTGCATTATAAATAATTTTTTAAGCTAACAGCAATGTTGTCTTTAAAAATCCCGGTATAATTTTATTAATTTTAACAAAGCACAAAATGTTGTCCAATTAGATATCAAGCTAAATATATAAATCTTGCGCTTAAACGTCGCTGTTTAAATCTTCGCGTGTGGTAATGATTAATCATTTTATTCAAGAAAGCACGACATATTATTGCATTTTATATTATTTTTAGCAAACTGCAATTGTGACATTACATATTGTCTTTATCCTTGCAGAAATAATTTTATTTCAGCAAAGCACGAGATACTGTTGAATTTTAGTTTGAACAGATCGACACAGTATAAATCATATCTTTATACATCAAGGTTATCTTCATAGATATCTTTTTTTTCTACATAGCACGAGTAATTATAATACTTAAGTTTTAATACTAAGTCTTTATACATCAAGGTTATCTTCATAGATATCTTTTTTTCTACAGAGTAGGAGTAATTATAACACTTAAGTTTTAAAAGACTTCATATTTCCTTTTCAAACTCTTAATTAATTTGACAAGAGGTCGATAAATATAAGATAATTAAAGTAAAATGTAACATTTAACAAGCATTTAACTGTTTAATGTGACGACCGAGTCGTAATTAACACAAGTCCATACGAAAGATAATGTATGAAGGCTAAAAATCGACCCTGGTATTTTAACAAAGAAAACGATCAAAGCCATTAATAAGGGCAGTAAATAATCAGTGCTCTAACTGTAAAAACAATGCTTAGGAGTTGGTACACAATTTATTTGCCTGGAGGGGTGTTGAGATCAAGTGACAAGCGCACGTGTTCACTGCATTGGCTTCGAATGGGACATATAGTATACAGTGGTATAGTGCCACTGTGGGGTGTTTATGTTGAAATGATTTTTCACCGCGTTATTTAAAACCCCAAATAAATGTTGATTTATTGTATTTCATTATAAAATTGCTCAATTATTTTTTTCCAATCGAGTGTCTGATTAGGTACATGTGTACTATGATTACGCAAGCATGTGGCTAAGGAATGCTTGAATATCTATAAATAACATCGTCAATAGCGGCCTACATGGAGACAATAAATATGCAGCTCAAATTAATTGTTTTTAATATCATTTAACAACAGATAAATATTACCAACAGATTATAAATATAACATCTTGAACAAGCCTAGGTTCCAACAATAATTTTCCGAAGTTTTGAATACAGTGATAAACAACAAGAAATTGCCCATGTCTCTAGGTAATACTACGATATGTCCGTGTTTTACCTGAAAGAAAAAAACTATCAAAATCCTATTGTGGTTTAAAATACGCACCCCTTTCTCACAAAAACATTTTCTAGGAAAAAAGTGCGTATTATATTCAGCCAAATACGATATTTTGGTTAATCGTGGCAGCCCTACGGTTAATGCATCTAAGGACCTTATATCATCTTGACTCAGAAGTAGGTCACGTTGACCTACTTTTTAAATTTTGCTGCCATTCCTTTTCAAAATGATTTAGAGGCATATTTTGAAGAGTTTAAGGCCTATCATCATCAAACTTTGTCAGTTGATGTATCTTGGGTCCTTTGAGTACGTTGATTTAAAAGTAGGTCACCTTGACCTACTTTTTGAATTTTATGGCCAATCTTTTTCAAAACAATTAAGGTCATTAATTCAATACTGAGAGGTTTAGAATCATTAAATCTTGTAAGATGATGCATCTTGGGGCCATAAAACATATTTATTAAAAAGTAGGTCACAGTGATCTACTTTTTGAACTTTGCAGGCATTTGATTTCAGAGCGTTTTAGAGCCATAATTTGGACATTTTAAGGCCTATGATCATAAAGCTTTATAAGTTGATGCATCTTTGGTCCTCACAAAACATCAACTGAAAAGTAGGTCATAGTGACCTACTTTTTGAATTTTTATGACTATAATTAAATATTTCAGGTACTAATTGGCTTAGAATCGTTAAACTTTGTCAGTTGATGCATCTTGGGTCTTCGGAGTAGGTCAACTGAAAAGTAGGTCACCATGACCTACTTTTGACCTACTTTTGAAAATTTATGGCATCTTTGGTCTGCAGAGTTAGTCGACTGAAAAGGAGGTCACTGTGACCTACTTTTGAAATTTTATGATCACAATTTTAAATTTTTTTTAGGTATTAATTGGCTTAGAATCATCAAACTTGCCTTTACAGGACTGTAAATTTTGACCTATACTCAGCAATCAGGGCCATTGAGCAGTGAGGGATCTTTTTCGTGCCAGCACCTATTGCCATACAGGACCTCGGTCTCATCCGAAAGACCGGTCTTTAATTAAGGGATTAAAACCCCTGATAAGGATCAACTCCTTACGCCATGACTCTAGAGCAAAAAGCACTAACCACTGCACCACACGGGCAACAAATCTAATTTTAACAATTAAAACAAGTAATGGCTTTTCAAAAAGCTTGCCTGACTAAACCAATCAATATCTATGGAACGTATAAGCAAGAGAAGTGCTGAACGTTTCCATCATCAAGAAGCGACTTAGTTGCGATACTTCATTACACAAGATGTACAATTGACTTTCTCAAATGTCATAACCAAATATCACAGATTAACAAATATTTAAGACATGCCACTGTTTGGTCATTTATTAGTTAGCAGGTCCATTCCCAAGTAACTATTAGCCCTTTCTGGATCAAACTTACTCATATGATGCATCTAGGGATGGACACTACCACACTTGCTTCGGATGCTGCATCTGACCTTAATTTTCCAGATGAGTGACCAGGTTAAAGTTTTTGGTGCAGATCCATTCCCAAGTAACTATTAGCCCTTTCTGGATCAAACTTCGTATATGATGCATCTAGGGATGGACACTACCACACTTGCTTCGGATGCTGGATCTGAGCTACATTTTCCAAATGAATGACTAGGTTAAAGTTTTTGGAGCAGGTCCATTTCCAAGTAACTATTGGCCCTTTCTGGATCAAACTTACATATGTGATGCATCTAGGGATGGACACTACCACACTCGCTTCAGATGCTGGATCTGAACTAGATTTTTTACATGTGAGACCAGGTTAAGATTTTGGTGCAGTCTTATTCCCAAGTAACTTTAAGCCTTACCTGGACCAAACTTTTGTGAATGATGCATCTAGGGATGTACACTAACCAACCTGCTTCGAATGCTGGATCTGACTAAGATTTTCCACATGAGTGAATTTTAGCCATAGGGATGGACACTTCCAGACTTGCTTTGGATTCTGAATCTGAGCTACAATTTCCAGATGAGTGACCAGGGTAATTTCTTTGGAGTAGCTACATGTATATAATGTATGGCCTGTTATGATTAAACTTGCTTTGATGGTGCATCTAAGGATGAAAACTTCCAGACTTGCTTTGGATGTTGGAACTGACCAAAATTTTCTTGATTAGTAAATGGGTTAAAAGTTTTTTGAGGAGGTCTATTTCCCATTTCCAAGTAACTATAAGTCCTACATAAACCAAACTTTCATGGATATTGATCTTGGGATATACACTAACTAGAAAAAAATATGTGAAATTTGCCTTACTCATAGATGACATTCATCGAGGTGAGCTTTGTTATCTTTTCTTACCTATGTTTTGGCAGAGGCAAACTGAAGTTATTTTTGTCGTCCCTAAGTAGAACACAATGACAATGAAGGAGACATCCTTTCAGGTGTAGAACATGAAGCAAAATACATTGAACTCTGTACAAAGCTGGGGCTTATATAGCGGCTTGAGAAATCTAATATTGCAGACAAAGATAATTCTCCTCATTTTATGAGTCATGTTCAGCTTTAAAAACTCCAAGGAAATTTTAGAAAATCTGAAATCACAAAATTTAAACAAATCATTATCATCACAGGGATAGACCACCTATTGTGGCCCCATCAATTCCCTTGGGGTCATGATTTGATGAAATTTGATCAGTCATACTGATATTGAAGCATCCTCAGATAGTGTAGATTCAATTTTGTTCATTTATGGTGTTTAACATGGGAATATACTGGTATACTGTATACAGGGTTATTTTCACCCTGTGTTATTTTCACCTAATAACACTTGCAAACATTTTTACCCATTCTAAATTCGCCCGGTCACAGTTCTGTTTAAGAAACTATACTGTCTTCTTTGACCCCCCCCCCCCCCCCTCTGTCTTTAATTCACCTATGTGTGTGTAGGGCAAAAAAGGCAAAAACAGAATGGAGGTAGAAATTTCTCTGTATACAGGACTGTAGAAATTTTTTTTTAAAAATCTTTTTTCTCATAAACAGCAAAGGCATGATTAGTCAAACTGATATGGAAGCATTCTCAGGTAGTGTAAATTTAATTTTATTTAAATCATGATCCCTTGGTTTGGGTTGAGCCACAATGGGCTCTCGGAGATTTACAAAGGGATGTTAGGAGAAAAATGTTTAGAAATCATCTGCAGGATGGCAATGCCATGATTAGTCATATTTATATGGAAGCATCTTCAGATAGTGTAGTTTCAGATGTGTTCAATTCATGACTCCAGCGGGTAGGGTGGGGCCACAGAAGGGAATCAAAGTTTTAATTAGAAATATAAAGGAAAAAAACTTCAAAAATCTTCTCAAGAACAGCCAAGTCATGATTAGTCAAATGTTAAAAAAAACTTACCTATCTTCCCACCTTGAAAAATGTGGGTCCAAGTACATCAAACCAAAAAAAATTCAAGGTGGCCTTACCAGTCATGTTTTTAAGGAAGTGCAATCAACAAAAAGGGATAATAAATTATTTTAAAGAGAATGACTTTAAAGGTATTTATAACTCCCTGTTTTCTTTGCTCCAGTTCATTCAGAAAATAGGAAGGTCAAGTTAGATGATAATCACTATAGTGATTATATGGAATTTTTGTTATATGAAAATTAAACAAATATTCAAATGATTTCTCCTAGGTATCTTATAGATGCAAAATGGTTTAAACAGTGGAAAAAGTATGTAGGCTTTGATCAGTGGGACATGAGTAATGTTGGAGAGCAGGATGCCTATCCAGGGCCAGTTGACAATTCACCTCTAATAAGAGGTAAGTAAAACAAATAAATTCATCATGTTGGTTCCTCTTTTTTGATAGACTTCAATGCTCCTTATAGCTTTTTAGCTCACCTGAGCTGATGGCTCAAGTGAGCTTTTCTGATCAAAATTTGTCCGTTGTCTGTCGTTGTCGGCATCGTTGTAAACTTTTCACATTTTCATCTTCTTCTCCAGAACTACTCGGACAATTTCAACCAAACTTGGCACAGAGTATCCTTGGGTGAAGGGGATTCAAGTTTGTTCAAATGAAGGGCCACACCCTCTTTCAAAAGGAGATAATAACAAAATAGCGAAAAATTAATGGCATCATTGAAAAATCTTCTTCTCAAGAACCAATGGGCCAGGAAAGATGAAACTCATGTGGAATCATTGTCAGATAGTGTAGATTCAAATTTGTTCAAATCAGGACCCCCTAGGGTAGGGTGGGGCCACAGTAGACGATCAAAGTTTTACATAGGAATATATAAAGGAAAAAATCTTCTTCTCAAGAACAGCAAACTATGATTGGTCATATTTATATGAAAGCATCCTCAGGTGGTGTAGAATCAAGTTTATTCAAATCATGACCCCCAGGGGTAGGGTGGGGCCACAATGGACGATCAAAGTTTAACAGAGGAGTACAGTACAGGCAACGCAGATCCCATATTAGACCGTGTCCCCTCGGTGGTGTGTTAATCCTTTCTGCATAACACCGTCGCTGGTTTTGATTGCGGTGCTACCTGTGACCGTGTTTACACCGTGGCGGGGCCAGCTACCATTTTTCTCCAGCTTAGAGTTGTTACCTGTAAAGTGTTTTCGATTTTTAATTGCGACGGAAAAAGGGGGGGGGGAGGGTAATTTATTAAAGATCATGGCCTACATTATATCGTGCATACAATTAAATGATTTTTAGATTTAATTTTAAGTATTATCAAATTGTATAATAATTATTTATTTCCTATGCTTTTTATCCATAGTCACTCAAAATTAGTTATTTCTCAAGAAAAAAGAAAACATATATAGGTAATATGTGTGGTAAAATTGGATGGAATATCGTCAGCTCATTTACCCTATATATTTATTTAAAATCAATAATTCCAACAAAAAATATCTTGAAATTGCTAAATAATCCACCTTATAACAGTAGCATTAGATTAAATTTTTAAATGCCATCGTTTCTTAATGCAATAAATGCAGTGTCCACGATTCGCCCATGCAGTTGTATTCTCAGTTACATGTAGCTAATGCATTTATTTTTCTGCGAGATTAGATCACAGTCTTTGGTTTTTTAAAAAAAATATCCCTTTGTATATATAAATATTAGAATGAAAAACGACGATAGAGATAGAAACAGTATTATAATTAGGGATGTCAACGAATATTTGAACATTCGAATATTCATTCGATGAGTTGATATTCGAATATAAATTTAAGATTCGAATATTCTGTGTTTTACAGATTTCATAAAAAGAAGTACTGTGATTAATAAATTTTGATTAAATGAAAACCTTCTTGGAATGTCTAAAAGACGTTAAGAGTATACTTATCAAAATATTTTCAATTGATCATTGAATAAGTGTCTGATAGAATTCGTCAGTAATTACATGTAATATCGTAAAGGGCTTAATTTCAGAATAAATGTGTAAATTACTTGATTATCTCGGATTGTACATAATTCTGAATTTTATATTCATTATCGGTAAATTAATTAATTGCCTAGGAAAATTGTCCATTGAAATGTTTTTGTTTATATTTTAAAAATATTCTTTCAAAGATTATAATCATATCTCTTATTAGGCTGATAATTGTAATTAATTACACGTATTGAAATCGAAACAGTATATATACGACTATCCTGCCTTTGGTAAGAAAACTAGTTCCTCAGTTGAAGCTACTATAAATTTATTAAATTATTAAATTTGTTAAAATCATATTTTTCTACATTTAAATCAATTATTTATTTCAAATATTGACAGATATCAAATGGAATTCCTTATTGTACACCTACACACAATTTTACTTCCAGTTTAAAGAATACCTACGCTAAACCTTTCATGAAAGTAGGATGATGCATATTTAAAATACACCAGATTTATTTATTTTATCGAATATTCGAATATATTCGAATAATTTCATCGAATATTCGAATATGAATTACTGACAAAATTGACATCCCTAATTATAATTAAACACGTGTACATCTAGGAATATGAGGCACCATTCACTGTTAATATTATGCACTAAACATGTAAGACTGTAGAAGTAATATCAACATGATCTCTTTTTTTCCATTATTGTTATAAAATCATTACATCCTATATATTCAGGATAATTTCGTAGCTAGTTTTTCCATTTTCTTTCTTTTTGAAATTAAATATGATCATGCTCATCAGTATTTTTATTTACGTGCATCGTAAAATCGGAAAGACCTCTCTTTTATCAGCTGATTTGGGGCCTTAAAGTAATTTGAACATACAACACATACAAACACAAAAAAATTCCTATATTCAGAGACAAAATGTGTTAGAGCGATAGACTGCGAGTTTTCAGATTGCGTTGTCTTACATCATGAAGCAATATACAGTTATGGAATGGGTATGAGGGAAATAGCAAATTTATGGTTCCCTGAGGGAGGAAACTGTTTCCCGAGGCGGCTTCGCCGCCGAGAGAAATAGTTTCCTGCCGAGGGGAACCATAAATTTGATATTTCCCGAGTACCCATTCCATAACTGTTTTATTGTACCGAAACAAACAAAGGAGATTTATTAACTAGAGACTTAAACATTTTTAAAACAATATGGAGGCATTATTTATATAAATAATCAAAAATGCATCTAATTCCAATTTTGTTAAATATATAATGTATCAAAACGGAAAAAATAAAATTATTTAAAAAAAATAATAATTTCACTGACATTTCGAAGGATTATCGTTGTCCTCTTTTTGCTTTGAAATTCCAGTATGATTTTGACATCGCATGTCGAAAAGTTTTGACGTCATAGTTACATTGCTAATAACATTACGTCACAGACACGAGATTCCTTGAACGCTCCGCCCACTGTTCATTTTAATTGGTTTAAATTAATAATAAATATTCATGAGGGAGTAGTCCCAGGGAGTAGCTCTGATTTTTCAGGGAGTAGTCCTCAGATGGGGAAAATAGTATCTTCTCGGGAAAATAGACAGTTTTAAGGTATTAATTTTATATAGAGTAAAAACAGTAGAGGTAAAATAATATTGGCTATCTAATAAATAAATGTCTTGGAAGCAGTTAGTTAAGTAAAATAGTGTCTGTGGCTGTTACTGTTTCCGTGTTTTTCAGAAACTTGATCGTAGAATTAGACAAAGTCCACAAATGGTCAATTAATTGATAAATTGGCAACAGTTTAATATTATCTGTTCACAGAAACGACTATTGTGAAACTGAAAAAAAATCCAGAAGCAATTCATTTCATTGAAATTTAATCATGAATATTTTGTTTTAATCGATGGACTTGATAAATCAATAAACTGATTGAAGGAAAAACGATGCACGTGCTGTAACATTCTGTACGTTTTTTTCCTTTTTTTAAATTCTACTTATACATAATACATGCACATGTACATATATAAACAGAAATATAACTAGAAACTCATTGCGAGCAATGAGAGGTCTTCCGTCCGATTCTGAAAACAAAACAAAAATTCAAGCTGAAAAAGGGATAAAAGAAATTCAGACACTCTAGAGATTTAACCCTGGTCGTCAACGTGAAAATCCAACGTGCTAATAATTAACAACTCACTTTTTTGCATCACTTCCTGTCACGACCGGAAGTAACGGCGATACAAGATTTTCTCACGATTCAAATAAAGTGATGACCTTCTATCAGTCCTGAAAGTTTTAGATTTCAGTCGTTTACTGTTGCCGAGTCGTATCTTGAGAACAGATTCTAATTTTGAGGACAGGTAGACAAGGACCGGAAGTGAATTTTAGAAAAATCTCTGACTTTTCTCTAGACATTTGCAGTATCTACAACATGCATATAATTATTTCAAGTAGTTTATTGATAAGCAATATTTATGAGAAAGTTAAATATAAAAATAACGTAGTTTATCTCCTAAAACCGGAAGTTGACGTTTTTGATTTCGGTGGAATCTAACATATTTCAAAACAGTGAAAGAGATGCAATAAAGTGATGCAAGTTTTAATTTAGAAAAGAAAAATTAAAATTTTGATTTCTTTGATCACTTCCTGTGACGACCGGAAGTGACGGCTGACGCTCTGAACCCAAATGGTTTTGCCTACATCTTAAGGTCTGTTGCTCATATAAGTTTGGTGTCTTAATCTCTTACTGATTCCGAGATCTTGCTCAGACAACTTCTCATTTTGAGGACAGAAAAACACGCGACCGGAAGTGAATTTTACAAAGATTAAGATACTTGACGTTACTCTAGACATTTGAAGTCTAGATAACACATTTAAAATTCATTTCAAATGCTACAAAAGACATTAATAACTACAAAAGATATTAATGGGAAAGAAAAATACTCAAATTATGTAGTTTTTCTCTTGTAACCGGAAGTTGACGTTTTTGTTTCCGGTGGGACTAACATATTTTGAAACTACAAAAGAGATGCAATAACGTGATGTAAGTATTGATTTAAAAAAGAAAAGTTGAAATTTTACGATTTCTTTGATCACTTCCGTGAGCGACCGGAAGTGCCGACGACGAACAAAGTGTAGCGACCCAGCTAGTATCTATCACGAGCTATAATTCCTGAAAGTTTGACATGGATATCTCTTGTCGTTCTTGAGATTTTCCGCGGACAAAATGTCATTTTGAAATCAGAAAATGGTCTGTAACTTGGCACCAGAAGTAAATTTCCAAATTTTCTCTCGGATAGATAAAGTTCATTTTACAACACACTATTCCTGAAAATTTCATGTAAATCCATTCAATAATCTTTGAGAAATCGCGTGCACAAAATTAGAAAGTGACTTAAAACGAAAAAGGCGAATTCATAGAGTATGTT